GGATTGAAGAGACTACCGGTAATGCTAGAACCGCTTTCAGTCGCAATTCGGCGCAGTCGATGAGCGCACTCACCGGAAGAAGATCCAAGCACAGACGACCAAACTGAAGCCCATGCAAGTCGAGATGTACAAAATCCTTTCTACATTCGTGACTCCGTCGCTGGTCTAATGACGAGGCTGAATAGAAAACCTGAGATGAATCAAGAGACGTACCAGCGTCTCTGCAGTCGCTGATTGAATCCCGCCAAGACCAAGAAGAAGAAAGAACATTGTTCCGACAAGTTCCAACGACGCGGCAATGAAATCCTTTCGTATATTGAATGGGGCGGGCATCGCGGTGAAAACAAGGCGGTGGGAGGAGATGAAAGACGAGGCTTGGCGTGGAATTGTGGCCGTGTTTGGTTAATGATCAGGCTCGATCGCTCCAACGTTCTTGCCAAATTGGGAAATCGAAGTTGAATCGTAAGTTGGACCCATTTCCAGCGGTAGTCGCTTGGTGTTTGATAATTGTTTCTTCATATGAAACTCGTGGTATCTGAGAAGTTTCGCCATAATCTACGCCTCTTAAACCGTTTCTGAACGGACACAGTCGACGTTGCGGAGCTTTTTGGCTAGGCACCGAAATTACGTGAAAGCGATTCCAAGCGGCTCAACTCGAAGCTTGCCGTTGCATAGTTTCTCGTAGACAGACACGCTATGCGGTAGCTCGCACATCGCTATACGGTCGTTGCAGAGAATTGTCAGAAACCTTTGACCCCCTCGTTTCGGTTACTCCCCCATCGGACAATCTCCGCAGAAGATTCAGGCTAGTACCACTGCTGTTCAGTTTCAACGTTATTGGGAGTCAAGTAAAGTCGAACTCAAAGTTGAACAAGAAATGGAGACATGTTCGGCGTATATGCTTTGATTCAATTGTGCTTGTGAAAAATTGAGGAAAAATAATACCAAATATACCAGAAAAACCGTGGCTCAGAAAATCTACTAAGAGTGCGAGACTCGGGAGACTTGGGGAGACTTCGGAGACAATTTATATAAGCATAAAAAACAATTAATTATCTATTTAGCCTCGCATCCGAGACCTCTTGGAAGTCGTTTACCACTAACCCGCCACATAAAATCTGAGAGTACCTTCGGGCTACGCGCATCACGATGTCCTCTATGGACGAAATCCTTCAGCTCCTCAGAGGTTCCCAGGCTCAAAGACAGTGTTAGAATGGACAAGGCGATGTCGTTCGTCCGGACTCCGGCCCCGCCTTGCGTCGCCGAGAAAGATTCGCAGTGACGAGCCCAGTGACACAGGTCTTTGAGGTCATTTGGAGGGAGGAAAGGCGGGGCCCCATTAGCGGGAGCTCTGACGGGTCGACGGCAAGCTTGTAGATTGTCGTTGGGATTAGGTGGGGACTCGAGTCTCGATGGTGGGCAGGAACAAGCGGGGACGTAACGCTGTGTGACATATCCGGCAGATCAGTCCAGTTTTACTATATTATTACCCGCGGGAAAGTCTCCGACTGTCTCCCAATTTAGTCTCCCGAGTCTCCCAAGTCTCCGGAGACTTTGAGAGACTTTCTCATATATGTTTGCTCTCAAATATACCTCACGTCTATAGATTTTTCGATCAAGATCCCAACGAAATCCATAAAGTGCTTGGTTCAAGTTTCCGCTATGTAAGTACGAGCAACCGGATCACCGCGGACTCGTTGGACTCGGCTAGTCTCTGCAAAATTGTGCTTTTCATCGTGGCAATAGTATCCGGACCGCAGTAGAGTATGAGCCTTTCATTTCCAGCGAGTATCCATGTTTATCGTTGTGCTTGAAGCTGGAAAAGAGTAGTCTCTCTTTGACAGATGGTGTAGAATCAGTAGTCGTTCGTGCCTCGCTTGATTCACAGGCATTTCCAAATTGTTAACAGATGAATTTTCTGGGTGTAGTTCCTCCCGCAAACGCCGTAAGCTCCTGCGTAAGATGAGAACCGGAGTTCAAAGTGATCTCCGACAAATTTCACGGGTCTGCGTCGGAAATGACAAAAGACCTGTACATACTTAACAGGAAGCTAAAAAAAGTCATACTTACCCAGTGAGTGGATGTTGAAATTAAGCCAGGGATGGGTCTAGAATTCGACCAATGGTGTAGCTGACAACACGACGAACCATTGTCATCAAATTTCTTCAAGGCTGAATTTGATGGGGTCTTGGTTATTTTCGCCATTTCTTTCTTGATCCACTGAAGCCTGTAGTGCACTACAGTCTTGTAATTTTACCGTTTGAGAATTTTATATTTATTCATCGAATTCTTGACCCCGAGAAAACCCGCTCACCGCTAAACTACGATTGACCCTGACAGTCCCATGTGTTCATCCATTCGATGGCGTATCCCTTCTGTGTAAACGGGAGATCTGTATCGTGTACGACCTTGCGTTCGTTGTGTGGAAGATGCCCTGCTCGTTCTTTCAAACTACTTTAGCGTGAGCTTCGGAATCGGGGTCTAGCTGCCTGTTCTCTCTCCCATCGGTTCGATGGTGTAGTCGGTTATCACTTCTGTACGCAACTCCCTGCCAATAGGAGGGCTCGAATATGTCAACGAACTTCGATTCTTGCCCCATTCCGGCCTGTTGTGCAGCACATCGGTCAGCACCAATTACTACCCTTCGCACGCGACGGATATCTGGAGTGGTACATGTCTGCTCGACCGGAATGCTAACTGCGGAAGCTTGGCATCCAGTCAATTTATTCCGAGGTATAAAAGCTGGTCCTCGTTCAAGGTGGAAATATCGGCTTTCAACTTCTCAATCATGCAACTCAAACTATCTTCCCTCATCGTTGCCTCCGTTGTATTAGTCGGGAAGGTGAACGCGTACGCAGCACCCGCTGGGCATGAATTCATCGCCCCCACCTCGACCGACCAGCGCTCGCCGTGTCCAGGACTGAACACGTCAGTTAAAGTTTGCCGCCGTTCGCGACGTGATCTGATATTTTAAACTTATAGCCTCGCCAACCACGGCTATCTCCCTCGCACAGGCGCGAACTTCACGGTCACGCAGATTATGGACGCCGCCTTGGGTCCGTTCGCCTTGAAAATTCATCTGCCCAGGTTTTCAACTAATCATTTGCGCAGCCGGCTTCAATGTCAACTGGGACGCCATCCTCGTTGCGGCCAAATTTGGATTGCTGAGTGGAGCAGACGCGACCACCTTCGAGACCATGAGCCTCGGGCCACTTGCGCTGTACGTCTCACCGCTTATTTCTGTCTCTCTCGCCTAATTAGCCATAAAGTCACAACCTCGTCGAGCACGACGCCTCCATTTCGCGCAACGACTTTGGCCCCGACGGCACCGGCGACAACGTCCACTTCAACGAGACCACGTTCTCCACGCTTGCAAATGCGAATCCGGGCAAGGACTACTACGACCCGGTATCCGCGGGTGCCGTCCAGCACGCCCGCTTGGCGCACTCGGTCGCGACCAACCCGAACGTCACGAACACCCAAAAGGAGTTCAAGCTCCGCAGCCGCGAGTCGGCGTTGTACCTCAGTATCTTTGGGGACCCGCTCACTGGCATCGCATCGAAGGAGTACGTGATCCTCTGTTTTCATTGTATACAGTTAAATAATTCTGTGCCATTTAGGTTCGTCCAGATCTTCTTCCGCGAAGAGCGCCTCCCTTTTGCTGAGGGATGGTCCAAGCCCACTACTCTCATTGACTCCTCCACTCTGGACCCCATCGGGAACATCATTCAAAATGCGTCCGATTGGACTGAAACCCAGTCCTGCGAGCCTCTTGTCCTCGGGTCTGGTATCGTCTTCCACTGAAGCGAGTAGTGCACTACAGTCTAATAATTTTACCGTTTGAGAATGTCATATTTGCTGAATTCGAAAACCAGTTCACTCCCAAACCACGATTGTTCGTAGACTCGTGTCCAGTCTGCTTACGATGAGCAAAAAATAGTGGCGAGCACTTGCTGTAAGCAGACTGGTACAACTCGGGCTGTGGGAAAGGGCGGACTAGCAGGCATCACGCTTGTCGGCCCGGGTGACACGTGATCGTGTTTGATGTTTGATGCTCACTGTATTTCCACTCCTGGGGTGAAACTAGCATGGTTAGGCCTGTGGGGCATCAAGGTCTAGTATTTGAATGGCTTTAGGTGTCAATTTGAGCAATATAAAGTTTTGTGCCCAAAAGTTGTGGGGAAATTTTCGAACCAAAAAAGTTGGTGAAGTTTGAAACAAAAGTTGTTGAAATATAAACTTGGGTAATAAAAGTAGGGGAAAACAAAGAGAAATCCCCACCTTATTTTGAGCTTCAAAAGTGTGAAAAGTTGTGGGGAAAGTCACTGAATTCCCGATAAAAGTGGGGAAAAACACCAAAATATGTGGGGAACATTAAAAGTGCATTTGGAACGGCATAGGCAAGCCATGGAATACCAAAACAACTTATTGAAGAAGTGGCCTTGCCATGCTGAATGAAAATTGCCCACCCTATTCCTGCATGATGTCGATGCTGCTCTTGTCTCGAAGCAAGTTTTGTGTCCATGACGGGTATGCAGCATGGAAGGAAGCATCATACATGCACCACAGTGTCTTGGATGTCGGCGCGCATTTCCGCCTCCCGCAGATTCCTTGCGCAGGCGCGATGGTTGTGGTAGTGGTAGAAGCAAAAGGTCGAACATGCCACGTGATGTTCAACATCAGATGAACTGTGGCTTACAAACTTTCATTAGAATTTACCCACCTGATGAGCTTTCGCAGAAAATCAATCGGAAGTAACAAACTTTCCCTAAATGCCATCAAAGTGACAAGGTTTTGGAGAAATAAGCGGAGTAACAAAGAAGGCTACTACCCCGATTGTTCCTGGCAGTCCCATATGCCAATCGGCTCGATGGCGTATCACTTCTGTCAAATAGAACATCAATAACCTAGCGCTCGTTGTATGCAAGATGCCGTGCACGATTCTTTCAAAGTACGGGCTTCGGAATCGCTTTGGCGCTGCCAGTTCGCCCCCTCCCATCGGTTCGATGGTGTAGTTGGTTATCACTTCTGTCTAACACATTATGGAACACGTGACATGTGCTCTATTATAGCGTGGAACACAGGCGGTCCTCGGTTCGAACCCGGGTCGAATCAGTTTTGTTCCCCTCCTTTTTGATTATCGCGATCTGATTATCTACGAGAAATCACTGTGGGAAATCGTTTTTTGCATTTTCAAGACCTTTCTGACGCACCCCACAAGATAGCCCTCGTTTTCCCGCTCATTCTGTACCAGAAATTGGCTTCAGAGATAAAGGAGGCGTGGAGAAAAGACGAATTGATGCCAGATCCCGATTGGGACCATATCTTACATAAGTGGCGGTGATTTCCATTTTGGGAAAGGACTGGCGCATTCGGATTCGGATTGTGCAGAATGCGTGGAAAGAGAAATTGATGGCAGAAGATTATCATTTCGATTGGGCCAATATCGGCGGTGATTTCCATTTTGAGACGACCACCTATTTCTTTCGCAGCATATTTGAATTCCCAACATTCAGAGCTTGTCTCAACTTGTTGTATCAGAACCTATGCGATAATTTTCAACCCTGCTTATTAAGTACCTCGACTTCCTGGACAAACCATGTTCTACACTACTCACAGCACTTTGGCCACTCAGGCTGGCATAATGAGATTCTAAGCATTATCTCTGACCTAATGCCCGTCCTTTCTTCAGAGTGGCAATATTTATGTGTCCCATAACAATGCATGCCTAACACAACATCTAATTTCTATGTGATTCAAGTTGAACTTCAGTTACAGTACCACCTCCGAGTCAGTAATTGACAATGAGCGATATGGATCCCCGCTTCTTGTTGGGTTAGCCGACGGCCATGGGGTGCCCTCGTCTGGCGGGTCCTCTTGGATTCATTCTCGACACCCCACACACCAGTTAGAGTAATCTTGTAACCTGGGTCAAAACCTTAGCCAAAAGTAGATAGGTTGAGAGCAGAAAAAAAAATCACAATAGTTGATGACTTAATTTGGTCTGAAAGCAACCCCAAAGGAGCAACAATCAAGCCTTGTTTCAGAAGTGCCAAATCTTGCTTTGTTAGCGGCAGTTGAAAAAACTTTTGAGAGATGAACTCTCAAGAGCTGCTTCAACAAGAAAGAAACACCCTATTTTGAAACTAACCAAAAGAGGTGCTGAAAGAAATTATTTCAGTGCACCTTTCAGCCGCATAATAATTAATGCTTTCTTCACTTTTGGAGAGAAAGTTCTAGTTTTGTGTGGCTGAAAGGTGTGCTGAAAGAACTTATTTCAGTATATGATTTGGCTGCTTCCAAAATATTAGGTTTCCTCCTTGTTGGAATCAGCTCCAAGAGTTCATCTCTCACACAAGGGGGACAAGCAATTTTGTCCTAGACAAACATGAAAAAATAATTGAGAACTAATTTACAATATGCTCCATATTTTCAATGGAACCGCTTGTAAAATGTGTTCAAAATATGTTCTGCATACCCAATATCATGCAGAAGATATCCAAGTCATGGAGAAGGCATTTTGAATACCTTTCAAATATTGAACCAGCAACCATTCAAAAGGCATTGTAAATTGGTTCTCAATGTTTTTCACCTGTTTGGCCAGTACAAAATTGGTTATCCTCCTTGTGTCAGTAGTTGTTTTGTCACTTGCTAACAATGCAAGATTATGTGGCTTTGAAAAGCATGTTTGATTGCTGCTCTTTGGGGTTGGTTTGAGGCCAAGTTTAAACATTCAAGTATTCTATTTTATTTATTCCACTCTTAACTCATCCACTTTTGGCTAATGTTTTGACCCAGGATACAACCAACAGGTGTGCCATCGCCTTACGGCCTGGAACTCGGCACCTTACGTCGCCGATCTCTCCACGCCCAGAAATATATGCCTGTCTTTGTTCACGTGATATCGTGGTCAATGATAACCTGTAAGCGTAACAGGCGGTCCTCAGTTCGAACCTGGGTCGAATCATGTTTTGCTTCTGTGCGCTCGTAGAAAGTTGCAGGCCACTTTCATTTGCCCCACCCTGCGTCCCTGAATGCTCACCCCCGGCCTAGGTCATCCACTTCACGGTAAATTGAAAAATTCAGACGTAAAGAGTGCTTTGATGGTGAAATGATGGCATCACCCCAATTGGGTTGATATTCCACATGATCGGTGTTGAGTATCCATTTTGGGACAGAGGTGGCACATTGAAACAATGACAAGGTGGTCGACGGCCTGCGGCCGTCTCCCTCCTTGTTTCGCCTGTTGTTCCCGACCTGGAAATTTGAAATCGTCCGGAGATAAAGTTCGCACCTCCGAAAAAGGAAATAAAAAACGGAAAGATTTTATAAAGAGTTTGATTTGATAGGTAAGTGGCTAATGAGCAGGGGATTGAGGTGTGAATTTGGGTCGAATCCAGCCTTTGATTCTCACAGCAATTACATGGCGGCACCTCCTCGCCCGCATTGGGATCCCTCAAGCATCCCCTGGCGCTAAGCTAATAGTACATTCGATGTGGATCGCAGTTCAGTCATCGGCTCATTGGCTAGTACTGGACTCAGAACAACGAATCCACATCGCCTTATAGAACTCGGAAAGTGTTTTATCTCCCATTTGGTGTGGCCATGCCAAATGGAATCTACGAGGTTATATGATGGCAGAAACCCCACTCCAGTTTAGTGCCGCATATCACTCGCCGCTAGTCCTGCTATCAAGGAATTTTACGATCACCACTATTCATGTTGTCACTTTAGGTCGTCCAATCCCGAGTCGCCCAGCTGTGAATAACCATCAGTATGGAAAATATTCGTAATGGTCTCTCTTACTCTCGGCCATCGTATTGGACGTCAGGCGGATAGTGCACCAAAATATCTGAGGAATCTTCAATAATGAACATGACTGCGAGTTGCAAACACACTCATAGACAAAAATTCGTGATCGTGCCAGGTTGAACGAAATCTCAGTGTCACCTTCAAATGGTGTGCTCCAATCAAAAGATTGGGATGCAGGCAAGTCGCCAAATTCTTCAGTTGATATATGCAGTGGATATAGTGATTTCTCGTGTTGTTGATTGACAGCAGATACCCGACGAGAGCCAGCGACTTTTCGGAAGTCTTGGACAGCCTGAGAAGGTCCATCGGCAGGAGGCGAGGGGTCCTTCTGCGCTTAAGGGCCGGAGAAGAAGGATCGGGGGAAGGAGTGGAAGGAGCCGAGGGGTTGTTGATTAGTTGATTCCCACGGTGAATAATAAATCACTATGAACTGTTAGCCGTCGTAGAAACAAGCGGCAAAGTCGAACTAGAATCTTCCTGCCGATTGCCAACTGATTTTTTTTCAGCCAAACGAAACTGTATGGCGCTGGAACTCGACTCACTGAAGCTCACACATTTTCAAGACACTGATACATTTCTTAACGTCATTTGTTGCATGTTGGGGATCTACGGAGATGCCGGTTCGACGTCCAGACGTTCAAGAGGAGAACGATGGCAACATCCATAAGCGCGCTCCGGCACGCAAGTAGAGCGTTTCCGCTCGCGAGCATCACGTACGACAATTTGTGGGTGGGATATGAGTCCCCGCCTTGAATGTGCTGCTATTACGTGGCTGTACGAGCGAGCAGAATTAGCGCAAATTGCCAACGAAGGAAATGTCTGGGAAGACCAAGTCAACTTCTGGCATAGGGACGGGTGAGAAGCGGAGAACCGATGATAAAGGGGCGTCGTTTATGGGCGATGGTATGAAAGACCTGTGAATTTGGATCTGAACTGTGGGAAAATCAATGGCTGCATGTCATGAGAGAACCATGATAATAGCTCGCATATAAAGATGCGGATTGGGTTGCGAACGGTTCGTCTTCCCTGTCAGGATCCCATCGTACTGGATACAAGATTTAACCACAAAAACAACTTGCTTCGCGCGGAATAACACCGACGGTGAGGTGGGATCGATGCCAGCCAATGAGTGAGAGTAAAACTAGGAATCATCAATTTTGCACAAGCGCAGAAGCGGCCCTCTTACTCCAATTCCGCGACAGCCGTCCGGGCTCCGGTGAGAACGTTTGACAGAGCACTGCACGGGTACAGCGACAGAAGATGACTTACCACCGTTCTTTGTGCGGTTGCCAAAATTCCAATCAACTTCAAGTACGCGATGCTGAACGACGACACAGAGGATTTTGCTTCGGGCTGTTTGGGGTCCGGAAGGTCCCAATCCTCATCGTCGCAATCGTTCAGGTAATCTATGTATGTGACATCTATCGAGGAGGAGCTTTACACACGGAACTTCCGGATGTTCATCTGCGCGGACACGCTCATGAGTGCATTTCATGGCAAACCTCCTATCGTGAATAGCGACGAGTGCGGGCATTAGGCCGGTCGTCCGCCCTATTAACCTATCCTCCAGTTATGGCAAAACTAGCATTGTAGCGATCTCCACGGTAGCGCTTGCGCGTATGTATGCCGAGGTCTTGAAGATTGCAGAGTACAACAGCAGTGAGACTCCAGCAAACGTAGGGTGAAACTACTCCCTGGAAATAAAGGATCGAAAACTAGGAGCAAAATCGGTGAGATTTCTCCCGACAAAAACAAAAGACTACTCACGAAAATGCCCTGCAAGTCATATAGCGTGAGGGCGAGATACTAGTAGTAGTCTCGTTCGTTTGGGATTTGCCGGAACCACTTCCACCCAGCGTTCAACTGTGAGTTGGTTCCTTTTAATATGACTCGGACGCTCAAACTCGTGTATATTGGACACACGGGAGGCACGAACCTCGACGAAAAAGCGAACACAGCCAAAACAAGGGCTCCAAACGAATGGTCGATCAAATGTAGACAAGGATCTCTCGAATGTTGGCCGGTGCAGGCAACTCAAATAATGTTGAGGCGGCCAAAGTATAGCGGAACAAGGTCATCCAAAAGGTCTTTCGGTGGAAAATCATAAACGGGTGCCGGCGGTGGAGCAGTTATCTCCCACTAGCTGCAAATTCACGCTAAGTAAGACGAAAAAGAGACTGTTACGGACGTGACTGTGCCAAAACTCCTTTCGACGGGCAGGCTCTGGCTGCCTGACGTTGGGTCCATCGTACTCCGCCTTCAACGCTTGGGCGACTTGCATGAGGTACAACCCACTGGATCGG